GAAAGAGTGGGCAGCCCCACAGCGAGGCCTCCCTGAGCTTTGCCTGAGCTTGGGGCTTAGTATTTTTGCTCCACTTAGTGTGATAATGAGCAGGGCGGGGAAGCAGGCTGAAGGGGATTGAAAGGTGGTGGCAGGATTTCCTCCTTTTCACGGCCGAGTTCCCTTTGCTTTCCTTATTTGTTTTCCTTTAAATTAGGAAATCATTTGCGGTGAGAAGGTGGTAAATACGCTTTGTGGATTTTGCTCTGCTGTATTTGTAGTTTGTTCCCAGACTGAGATTGAAGCGATTAGACTGTCGCAGTGCCCAAGCAACCGGTATTACATCAGGAAAACCCATCAAAACATTTTGGGATATAAAACCACTGTGTGCACAAATTATATAAAGAATGCTAATATTTGGGGGATGCTGTGTGAATGTGAATATGGTATGTGAATATGCATTCTTACATATTACATGGCTAGATATTTGTATAAAACAGTTTACTACAATGAGAGTGGTTGTATGCTCCTAGGGTCTAGTGACCTACAAGAAAGAATGAAGACCTGATCTCTTTTGTGCTTACACAAGCCCAAAAAATCTTTTTGCACTTTTTTCCTATGGTAACTAAAAAGACTCTCTGACATACTCTTTTCCCCCTCCACACATTACTGAATAAAATCCCTGCTGGGCTGAGAAGCCTATGTGATACAAGTTAAAATTCAAAGGTCATTTTTATCTTTAAGTAATAAACTTCAGAAAATGAGTCATCCTTTGATAACTAGTGTGAATGAAAGTTTATAACTGCAATACTGAATCTCCTTTAGAGGCAGTAGTGAATCGAGAGACTGAAGCAAACGTGTACACAATCAAAGGTGTTTCTCAAAGTGTTTTGTAACAAGTTTCACTGAAAACTCTAGCTAACATAAATTGCTATCATATCAGATGTTGCTTTCCTGCTGGTGTTTTTAGACATTGAAATATAGCAATGCTAAGTTTACTTTTGTACCCAATTATCTGAAAAGCAACCAAACAAAATGATAAATATCGAGAGTTTTTGTTTTGGGGTTGTTGGGTTTCGGTTGGGTTTTTTTGTTTGTTTGCTTGTTTTAGAAAATCCAGCGTTTGCTTTGCAGACAGTATCCTTCCACAGGAGAGGACTAACTCAGGTTTGACAACCACTAACGCTTTACTACTGACCGACTGGCATAGAATAAAATTTCTCTCTCTCAGTGGTGTATTTTATCATATGGGGTACGTGACTCCTGTAATAGCTATTACCAAATAAAATTTTGTGTCGCTTTGGAACAGCTTTATTTCGTATTATCAGGCAGAGATGCTCAGCCAGTATAAATTAGAATAACTCAGCCGAAGCCCATGAAGCCGTGCTGTCTGAATATCTGGCTTGCAGTCCGCAGAGGTCCAGCTCTGTTCTCTTTTTTCTCGTGGGAAGGGTCCTCCCTCGCAGTCTCTCTCGCACCCACCCACACCCGCGCACACCCGCCCTTTTCCAAGTTTGCCATGTCTCCTCCTCCCATTGTCTTACGCTGTGGCAGCTTCTGTTCACGTTATCTGTGCATGTGCATGTACAAAATGTTTTTTTGAGCCCGCGAAGCACTGGGATGGCTCCCTCCTCATTTGCAGCTACACATTTCCAGACGAAGCACGGAGTGGCCAAGGGTCATGCACAGCCGGTGGCATTATTTAAATTCCCTTCCTCCACAAGATTATGCCATGGTAACAAAACTCGGTTCTGCTGACTGGAGGTGGGAAAAACGGAAGCTCTAGGATTAAGTCAATTTGTGTTAGAATAACTTAATTAGCAGCGAGCTGTACACATACCACAGCTAGTAGACAGTAGGAGTTGGGCAGCAGTGGGAAAAGGAGGGCAAGGACAATCCCGCATTGTCTGTGGTTAGAGAGCCCTCCCCTGAATTCGACAGCTCTTTCGGTCTCTGCTGACATTGTCAGCAGCTATGTTTCACGTACAGCATGAGAAAATTATATGTAATTTGCCAGATACTAACCCTCTTTCAGATGATCCCGTAACTTAGCACCTGAGTTTTCTTTGAACTGTTTCTTGAACCGGAAAGTAAGTCCCCTGAAAGCTGTTTTATTGAGAGTGGAAGTAAACAGCTCGAGCCTCCTTCAGAATACCACCACTGTATTTTCTAATTGTCTTGTTTAAAACGAAAAAAATCATAACCACTGGAAAGCAAGACTGATGATTAAAATCAAGAGCTGTGCTGGAAGAAGGTTTTTAGAGCTCCAGCCACATCTAATTTGCAATTCAAGAGATTTTGTTCCCACTTTTATGTAGTAGGAGTGACAGCAACAGAGGGTGATGTACATAAAAAGAGAACCGTGCAGTAATCTATGAAGCTGATATCGGGCTAATAGGTAATTTTAGTCCAGCACCAACCCTGACCACTGCTCTGCCAGTAAAGTCAGGCAAATAATAAACTGAAGCATTAAACCAATCTTGGAAGTAAATGACAGCTCTGGTTTTGCAGAGTCTGGAGGAGAAGAAAACCCACAACTCCTCGGTTTGGCATCTTACAAAGCAAACAGCCTCAAGCGCCATAGCAGGCAGTAGATTTTTAAAAGCCAGTTCCCTACAACAATGCTGCCTCTTTTCTCCACATGAGAGAACTGTTGCTTGCTCCTCTTATAGCAGTGTTTTGTGTTTGCTTTATTTAAGAGACTAGCACTGTTTCCCCAAACCCCAATAAAACGAAACTAACCTTGAGAGCAGGGATTTCTAAAATGGAGGCAGTCTGCATCCTACTTTCAGCAGACCCCTCCAATGATGTGGATCATGCTCCAGCTGCACAGCTTCCTGGATTTGGAAAAAAAGCCAATGTTATTTCAAGGAAAAATGACATGGCCAGTCCCAATTTGATGTGGTGGTTACTACAGCATTGTGGCTTGGTGGGTATTTTCAAGTTCTAAATTTCACACAGAGATGTCCTTGTTCTCAGCTTACATGAGGAGAACATTCAAAAATACCTCCTTACCTGAGTAGCTGAGTCTATTTCCCCTTTCCAAGGAGAGATTGGCAGCTAATTGTAGAGAGGGACAGGTTCTCAGGAAAACAGGAGAGTAAATGCAAGCAAGTAATGTGAACTTTTTTCAGAGGAGTATCTTACAGTTTAGCTTGGCCACCAGCGTGTGTGAAGAGAAGAATGATTTCTGGGAATAGTTTAGTGGCTGTAAGCCTTTCTGCCCACCATATTGTCAACCAAATTATCACAGCTGAGGTTAGATGCATAATTAAAAAAAGAAAGAAAGAAAGAAGCATTAACCTCTTTTTAACCCTGAATGGCTAAATGTGGCACAGTGACTGCTAGCCCAGGAACCTGGCAAAGGCTGACTAAGAACCATTGTAGCTGATTTCGGGATATGCAAAAACATCCGCATGCTGGATCATGGCATCTGATGTAGGACTTATAGAGCAGAAACAATATGAGGCTCCTCTCCTTTCCAAAATCTCATTTGTTCAAATAATTGCTTTTGGGAAAGAATCTTGCTTTGAAGTTTTGTAGCATTTTTCTTTTTTTCTTAATGGGAAGAAAGATAGTTTATATATGAAAGTGCTTTTCTGGGAGAAGCAGGCGATGCTGTCAGTAACATTTCCTGGTAAGACCTGTGATCTTTTTTTGAATGGATTATGGATTATCTTGTGATAGATAGCTCTCTTCATAGAAAATGAACTGTCTGACTACTCCATTTGACTTTGCATTCATTTGCCTTTGTTTACAGGGACCATATTTATACTGTTGATATGGACACATCACATACAGAAGAAATTTATTTTAGCAAAGTAAGTAGCTTTTATCGTAATCCAGAAACCAAGGACATTAGAACAAGCTTCAAATAAATAGGAAGATGACATTGTTTCAAACAACTTGCCAACGCTGCTGTAAAAACTGTAATAAGCAAGTAAGATGGCATTGCTAATCATATTTGGGGAAAGCTAGAATAGCAATCATGTCCTCTGTGTATTTCTGATAAGTGATTTAGCTGGGCTGATAAGCAATCCGTACTGAAATACAGTGAGGTCCCAGATGGAACATCTGTCAAACATCTATTCATTTATATTCAGCAGTTTTCTGTAACAGCTATACGATCCCAATTAAGTATACTGAAACTTTCATCATAAAAAGCAAGTGATATTTACATATTTTCATGTGCACAAATTTTATTCACTCGTGCAAGTACTCACTGAATAAAATCTTAATATAACATCACTTTGTAGATGTATTCACATTATCTCCATGGGAAGTTACAGTCAAACTAAGAGCTTTGTCTGCATTAGCATGTTGTATATTAACGTAGACATACTAGGAATACTCTCCCTTCAGCTCCTTCGCATTGCATGCACATTGTTTAATATGTGCTAAACACAGCCATAGTCCAGCTGAGGATCATACGAATTTGGACATTGGATGAGTTGCGCTGTAGGAGTGGAGGGTGTTTCATTATAACTGTGAATGATGCTGAAGATGAGCTTATGACCAATTACTTGTCAAAAAGTGAGGGCAGAGGCTTGTAATGGAAATAAATATTCATGGTTACTCTTTCAGCTTGGGGCCCTTCATGAATGCACAGTGCCTCAGTTTACTGATGGGAAACGCTGTCAGGACTGTCATGGCTATTAGTGTCTAAGGCTTTACTCTATTAGGCCATACATTTTTAAGTAAAGTTTTCTTTTAAGTAATCAGCCTACCACATTTGATTACTCCTGAAACTCACCTCAAAAAAGTCCACCCTGGCATTTACCTGTAAATGTTCTGGAGGAAGAGTATTAGCAGATAAAGTTGGCAGCGTCTTGATGGGTGAAGGGCTGTCTGAGCCTGTTAGCTGACTTGAAGCGATAAGAATTACCTGAATTTGATCTCTTTGCTAATCTAAAATGTCCTCTTCTATAGTACGTATTTAATTTAAAGTCCTGTTAGGATTTATAGCTCGTAAATGTTTATTCTGTTTGGCAGAACAATATCAAATTAAAAGAGAGCATCTAGTACTTTTTAAGAAAAGTGCACATATTTTTGAAAGTTGGCCTATTGTTGAATTCCATTGGTTTAGACTTTAAAAAAATGGGATAGGTTTCTAGTCTAATGAATAGATGGCAACACGAAATTAAGTGAATGCTCCACATGACTGATCTTTCGTTGTTGTGGTGAATTAATCATGGAGAAAGGGTGCAGAAAGCTTTCAATAAATATATGTTCAACAGCTAGTCTCCCCTAAGGGACTTCTGAAATAAAATGCAACAACCTCTGGGCTCTAATTGATTTCTTTCTTGATCCTTGCAGAAATTGACATGGAAATCTAGACAAGCTGATGTAGACACATGCAGAATGAAGGGAAAACATAAGGTACGCAATTTTCTTTTCTTCTGCATCTGCCACTTTAGTTTAGCTGCTTCACTATTATCTCGGGCTGCTGTCTGTGATGTGGAATGGATCATGCCATTCACTTCTTGCCAGTAATTGCTTTTTCCATCAACTTTCTGAAGGCTTTAATTTGCAAAAATAGTTTACTTCTAATGTGATAAAACACTGCAACAGGAGCCACAGCAATATCCTGAAATACTTAAAGCACTGGGGATTTTGGACATAATGCTTAGTGTACTGATTTTGCTTACCATTGCCTCAGAAGCTAAATGCCGCCATCCATCCTCCTCCAGGAATTTGCTGAGAAGTTTGTGTAAAGCATCAGAAAGCATGAATGTGTACAGCTGTAGAAGGAATGTTTCTCACACCAATTTTACCCTACTGTAACCTATGACTAGCACAAGTGTTGCACAAGCACAAGTATGAGAATTAGATGCAGACTCTGATTCTTAACACCTGCTTCCCGCTCTAGTTACAGATGCTTTATGCCAATACATTGCATTGGCGATGCTATTGTCTCACAGCAACATAGATGAGATCAGATTTTTCACTCCTGAGGAAAGCAACAGCATTCAAACAAAATTCACCTATGTGAACAATAGCAAAATCTGAGCTATAATATGAATGTCATGTCTTCAGTTTTTTGTAACCATTTTTAAACACTGGACTATAAATCAATTGCGTCTTCTCATTGTCAGTTAAACATAGTTGAAATAAAGCCTAGAATATCACAGTGGCTACCATCCAATTTCATTTTAGACGTGACAATGAAATATCATGGCATAAAAATAAAACCAGACACCCAAAATGCAGTAGCTGAAATACTTTTTATTATTTTTCTTCAGGATGAATGTCATAATTTTATTAAGGTTCTCCTAAAAAGAAATGAGGATACATTGTTTATCTGTGGAACAAATGCATTCAACCCTTCTTGCAGGAACTACAAGGTATGTGATCAGTTTGTGGGATTTCATTTATGCCTTGTCTTTTTGTTGGATTTATTGTGATTATGCTGGCAACAGCACGAGGTTGTCATTCAACAGTGCGTCATTTAACCCTGTAGCATTTATCCTGACTGGTTTCAATGCTACAGAGCTCAATGTCGATTGGGTTTCTGAAGATTGCTGGGATTGACTACCTACTTCTTGGCAACTCCTGCATATCAGAGTTTATTGCCACTTTGCATTGCCCTCCATAGGTGCAGGGTCCTTCAGACCCCTGCCTGGGGATGTGGTCACTCCTCAGAAAGTTCCTCAACTTGTCACTGACACCCACATCAAGTTATAGACTGATGCTGAGGGTTACGTCTGGGGTAGCACATTTTAAATGTCTCTGTTGTACTGTTCTCAGTCCTACAGCCAGTTCTAAAGACACTTGAGGGCTTAGCACAGCAAAACCTGGGAAGGTTAGTGTTGGGGACCTAGTGAACATGGAAGCTGTGGAGATCCTGTGACACTGTGTGCTGTAAAAGTGATTGACAGCAGATCTCCACAGGGAAAGGTACAGCAGGAGGGTGATGTATTCCTCAGTAGCTGGGGACCTGCAAAGGTAAAACATTATCTAGAGCAGTTTAGAAAACTGTGCTGGTCCATGGATACTTGACATTAACTCCTTGACCCCAATTTCTTGCTTTGACATAGTGTGTCCCGTCATCTGCATTTTAACAAGGCCCATTTGTTCAAATATTTCCCATTCTCTCAGGCTTGCACCAGTATAATCTGATATATCCTCCAACAGTGGATGTCTCCGGAGTAGCTTTGAAATTAATTCACTTAGGCCCTTGATATCCAGACTCTGCTTTTCCAGGCACTCTTACATCCCACAGGTCATTTCTCATCCTTCAGGAAGAAGAACATTCAGCTTTGCTAATGCTGCTTCTGCTAAAGTCACAGCACGATTCTCATTCATTTCGTTGGGTTCAGAGTTACTGTAAAAAACAGAGCAAAGACATTAACATCCAGGAAAATTAATTCCTTAGTGGTATTCGCTGTGACGGCTGCTCTTCCTTGCTTTTTCTGCAATGCTGCTTTGCCTTGTTTAGCCACTCTGATGGCTGTAGTCTAGAAAACACAGGAGGGAAGCTCAGCGTAGTCTTTTTCTTCAGTCTTTGGAAGATGAATCAACTTAGAATAAAAACACAAGCCTGAATCATGGTAAACGTGTGTGGTACAGGGAGCAGCTCTGTTAACGGCCGTTTTGTCTTTCTTCCTTGCCTTGCAGCCCGCTCCTAGCATGCAATGAAGCTTCTCAGCCTTGGTGCTGTATCTAGTCTTCCAGTGCAGCTTGTTGTTTTTTAGCTCTTGGTACCATTAATGCAGCTAACAAATCTCAACCGCCCCCCTTGCTAGAAAGCTGTCTTTTAATACAAATACATCTTTCCTTGGCATCCCAGTGTGAGGGATGTAGCGGCCCTCCTTACCCTTACTGCAGGCCCATGGTGCATGGGCCCTACAGGCTGCCTCGCCTGTTGCCGAGCTGCGGGGACTCAGTGAGCAGAGGGGGGCTCAGCACAAGGTCTCTCCAGCACCTGCCCTGGCTTTCCCTCCATATATTTCTGCATTTTATAGAAAGAGCATGAAAGATGTGCCGAACGGAAAATAGGGCTGTGCCTCCACACTGCCAGTGGAAGTGTGGATGAGCCTGGGGTGTGGGGCTGGGTGCAGGGAGAGTTGCTCAGGACTGCAACTCGCTTCCTCTTGCCGTCACATGAAATGCTTTTCAGCCCTTGAGTAAACACAACTAATTCCCTTCAGAGTGGATTTTGACAGGAAGGGTACATGACAGAAAACAAAGGATGACAAATTGTCCACTGGAGGACTTGGGTGCTGTAACATACGAGCTTAAAAGTTGATTGGAATAGTTGATGGTGCTGGATGGGTCATTTTTCATGCTCCGTGAATCTGTACTGTATGTGATTTATACAGTATGAGCCGCTCAAGTTACTTCAATATGCTAGAAAGTTTCTTATTCCCAAAATATGGTAGCATAAGAATCTTAAAGAGGTGAGAGCTGTATCTTTCCCCCGTAGCTCACTAAACCCTCTGAACTTAGCGTAAAGTTGATCTGTATATTTGTGTCATTATCATTGCCCCAGGGTGAATTTATTTCCCAGGAGTTACACTTCAGCCTCAGATTTTATAATTCCTGCACAGATTAATTCTTGCCTGATGGTAAGAGGATTTCTCCGTGACACAGACCCAACCGATACAGTAAGACTTGGAGAGCATCCTTCTGAGTATGCAAATCAAGGAAGAGAGCACCACTGTTGAGACTAGAGCAGAAGGATCTCCGGACTTTGTGAAGAAAAATGCACACACAGATAATTGTCCTAGTGTTGTTTCTTCTGACTGCTGTGGCTTGCGGTCTTTTCTGTGCATAAGAGCGCTTCTGTTGGATCACTGTTGAGGATAAATTTTGAATCCTTGCCAGAACCACAGACCACATAGCCTGCTACAGTTCAACAGGAAGCTTGTGTACAGATAAAATATAGACTGAAGACATTTGTAAAATGTGTCGGGGTAAGAGTGATTAGCTCCAGGAGAATGGACTCACTTTATTCAGACTGATTTTGTTTAATGCTGTGATTTTTGTCAGGTTCGTAATTCATAGTCAGGAGCACAGTTAGAGAAAGGACCTTCCTCCCTCCCCAGAAAAGAAGAAACACTGCCAAAAACCTCGTCCTGGGTAAGAACTTTTGTTTCTCTGTCTCAGGAACTCCCTTTTGTTTTTCAGATGGATACCCTGGAGTTCCTGGGAGATGAATTCAGTGGAATGGCCAGGTGCCCCTATGATGCAAAGCATGCCAACGTTGCATTGTTTGCAGGTAAAGTGACAGAGATAAGCTTTCTGCTTTCTGTACTGCAGCCCAGGCTGGCCATAGCACCGTGTCTCTTGAGTCCAGAGTGCCAAAATCTAAAAGGTGGCAAAGAGTGTGAATGATGACTAAATATAGGGGTCATAAGGAAATCACTAGCACAGAAGCCTTCCCTTCTCTGGTATTAACTTCACTACCATAAGCATTGCCTGAAGCCTCAGTTTCCTGGTTCAATATTTCAGTATTTCCTGGATTTCTGATAATATGATACCAGACCAGTGCGAGGCACCATTTCTGGCTGCATCCGGCTTCTGTGAAAGTCAAGGAAAGTCAAGGCTTGTGTGAACTTCAGTGAGGAGTGGGCAGGATGTGATCTTTGACAACTCTAAGCTTAAGTTAACCTTCATAATAAAAGGAAGTTAGGGAACATGCTGTGATGTCCCCTTTTCTAGATACAGAAGGAAAAGGAAGGTGATTTTATTTTAAAGCAGAAAACATCTCAGATGTTGTAGACAAAGGGGAGAAGTGTGTTGGTTAATAATGATTTGTGCTGTATGCAGCAGAATACAGTCAACTCTGATTTCTACTACAGTAGTTAAAAGAAGTGAGCGCTTATTAATGGGGTTAATTTGGGCTGTTGATTGTGAAATGGTATTTTTATACCTTTCTTCAGCAGGTGTGATGCTAGAAAGCAGAGCCTGGGTGCTCACAGGGAAATACTTCAGCTATTGCTCTGAAGATTTAAGAGTGTGCAAGTATTCCAGCCACTCTCAACCGAGTCTGTGACCAAAGGGCTCTATTAAGCACTAATGTGCATCCTTACAAAGCAGAGATTTTATAGCATGTTGCAATTTTGGTTTTTACAGTGTAAATAAATGGGTCCTTTTATTTAAAAAATAATGGTCATTATGATGGTGGTAGTATGTAATTTCTTAATTACAATCAAGAGAACGTAAAGTATAAATTCTCCGATTGTAGCAGGTAATTCATAAACCATGGAAAGAGAGAGACACCTTCAGAGAAAGACTTATCCCATGTGTCTCAGATTCCCTATCCTTAGGGCAGTCTGAATCACCTTTCAGAAGGGCCTTTCTCACTCTACTGGCCAAGAAAGTGTTTATGACCAACTTAACGTACACATTTACCTTGCACGCAGCTGAAGTTTGGTAAGATGATTCCCACTCTGTCACTGTAGAAGTCCTCACATTATTTGAAGATAAAAAGAATATTATTAGAAATGATTGTACTCTTTCATGATGATTCAGAATAAACTTGATAATGTTCAAATAAATTCTTGTAGAATAAGCTCTGCAAATCTGTTAGCTTCGGAAAATCACTGTTTGATATGCCATGCATATTGATACCCATGGTAACTTTTCCGAGTGCACTGAAAAGCAGTTTCAGAGAAGTTTAGGGCACTAACCCATCTCATCTGAGTCTGTTGGGTGCACTTACATGAATATGACACTACTTGCAGCCTGTAGCTATTACAGCTGATATCTGCAAATTGTAATTGGTTACATGGTCTTCAGGAACTTGGCAGGAAAGAAAATAAATGTGTGATTGTGTTAACATGAGTTCAGACATTCATATCTAAACATTTTGGCTTTTTACTCTATTTTAAAATTGGTTTTAATATCTGCTTTTTTCGTAACTATTTTTTTCTGGTTTTGCTTAAAAAAACCGCACCATTTTTAGATAGCCAAATAATCATGGGAAGTGTGGGGCTCAGAACAAAGGGTACAGTCTTGCTAATAGAAAAAAGCCTGATTTTTAAGCCTTGAGCTGAAATTAAACATTGTCTGTAAGTGCAATGAGGAGAGCTTGGCCAGTAGAAGCCTCTCTGCTTTGTCCTGGGCATGTCCTCAGTGCTGATGCCTTCAAGGCCCAGCACCCAACATAATCTCTGTCAAAAGAGATGGAGGCCATTCAGATTTTTATGTAGACACAACAGAGACATGAGCTGCTGTCCTTGTGCAACAATGCTTGTGCTCCTGTCAGACGTCATGTTCACGTCATCTGTCTCACACATGAAAATAGTCCTGTACAGTTATCATGACCTGCAAACAGATTAGACAACAAAATGCTGTTGAAGCTCATGCTTTACCTCCTGATTGTTTTGCATCTTTTCCTTGTCCTTGGGGTGTCATTTTGTAGATCCTTTCATATTGCTTATTGCTGCCGTCCAGTTCTTTAAGCAAGAGGAATGCGTAATTCATGCGGGAAATGCCTAAAATGCATTTTAGAAAAGAAACATATATAGGCAAACCTCCTCCATCTCTTTGCATCCCTGTTTTGCCTGTGCTCCCTGCACGCTATTTAACTTCTTGCTAGTGATCTTTGGCAGAGGAGAAGTGCTCTCAAATGGAGAAATTTGCATAAGTGTCAATTAGTTGACAGTCCCTAAGACCTGTCTGGTTTGCCCTTCCCAGTTAAAACTAACAGTTCTGTCATGCTTCCCCATATTTATTTTGCTCACATACGTAGGCAGAATTTACAAGCCTTGAACCAGAGGCATGTGCAGGGAAACTAGAGAGGGTAGTTCGGTATGACTTACCTAAACTGGAGCTGAATTGCTCCATAAGGTTTCTTCTCCCACAGCATCCCTCTGAAAATTACCATTTTGAAAACTGGTGACTTGCATGTTCAGCGCTCAGCCCCATTTACCTAGCTGGATTTTTTTTTCCCTTCAGCATTCCTAAGGAGACTGATGATTTCGTTTGCCCCATCTCATTTGACTGATGAGAGAAAGCAATTACATTATTTCTAATGCTCCTCCCCTCTTGTTTCTTCTTTCCTTCCTCCCAGAGGGAAAGCTGTATTCTGCCACAGTGACCGACTTCCTTGCGATAGATGCAGTCATATACCGGAGCCTTGGAGACAGCCCAACGCTGCGGACAGTTAAACATGACTCAAAGTGGTTGAAAGGTAGATAAACAAACAAAACAAAAAAAAGTGGCATCTCTGATGAGAGCCTTGGTTTCCTGACAGACCTCTCTGTCATTTCATTTCACTGACGCTTTCTGGCAGAAAGAAGGAACTAAATTACATCTCTTACTTACACTGATCTGTTTATCTCTTTCACTCTTCTCCTGACCCCAAGTTACTGGACCTGACAGAAACTGTGAGCGTGGTAGATCAGAATATATATTCCAACAAGCTTTCCAAGCTGAAATCCATCAGTTCACAGCTGTTGGATGTAAAGGTTGGAACTTGCAGGGCTTGGTGGGCTTGGGCTGTGTTTGAAAATTTTCCTGCCCCAGGACTGTGTTAGGCAACAGTCAAGGCTTCATGAAGTATGGAAGGTTTGTCCTGTAACATTAAGATTCATCAATGAAAATAAAATTATGGGAATATTGCACAAAGCCTTTCATTTATGGTTCTTAGGGACTGTACAGCTGCCATTGAATTAGGCAATTTCTGTGCTCTAAATGCCCTCATTGTTAAGAAGGGTGCTGTTTAGCTTCACGTAGGCGTTATGAATAGTTAGCATTTGGAGTGATTTTAACAGGGAGCAAAGCCATAGTCGAAGTCTTTTTCCGCATGCAGAAATGTTTTGCCAGGTGTTGACTTTAGCTGTCCCACTTTGCTTGCTGCTACAGACACGTGTGGGCACAAGCAGTTACGTGGTTTGTTATTCCCTCCACACACAGCCTGCATGCCATAAAGAGCATGGCTTGCACCCCTCAGGCATACCGTTATATACTGCCTCTTTACCTTTCCTCCTGCACCATGCAGGGCAGGCATATTAGTGGCAAGCACTTAACTACTTTGCTGTGATGTTGCACGGATTTGGCCCCAGCTGTCCCATCCCCAGACAGTGATTCTCCTGTGGTAGTGATGTTGCTAGTTCTGAAAACTGAGCAAGTTTGCCTAATGAACGCGGGCATTTCACCTTTGGATGCTTAGTGTGGATGTATTTGGCTACTTTTTGCATGCTGTATGCTGTACATGGTGCCTAAATAGGATGCCTTGTTTTTTTATTTCTAGAGCCGTACTTTGTCCAGGCAGTGGACTATGGCAACTACATTTACTTCTTCTTCCGGGAAATAGCAGTGGAGTACAACAGCATGGGAAAGGTAAGGGCAAAAACATTGCCTTGAATGACTTTGTCAGATTCGGGTGGAGGAAAACATATGCCATTCTTGGACCAGTGCTGCTAGGAGTGACCTTGAAATGAGAACCATAAATCACGATGACAAGGTCATCATTTTGAGAAGATTCCTATCGCTCAAGCCAAAAGGTTGGTTGGAGTGAAACATTGCACTGTCTTGAAGGGAAATGGGGTGGTTTCTTACAGTGATGGTGTACGCTGGAATCTCTTTTCTCAAATCAGGAAAAGAGCAATGCAAACGTAGTTAATTCAGCACAGCAGGTAATTGTTAAAAATGGATTCCAAAGCAGGGAGATATTGTTCTTTAAGAAATCTTAATTGGATTGCTGAGTAAACAGGGGCGGGAATTTTGTGCTCTGCCATTCTGCAAAGAATAATTAAACACTTTCTGCATTTTTTCTAATTTCACAATAGCTTTCTGACTAAGCAGTCAGAAAAGCTGACCAAGGTCACAAAGGTGGAGGGCAGGAATAAAAGCCTTGAAAGATTTGCATAGTTTTTAAGTGCTGAAAACACAGGAGTCAGAGCAGGCAGCGTGGGTTGCAGGGATTGTGAATATAAAATGTGCTTTTGTTTGGGGAAATAGAAAGCTAAGCAGTCTGTATGGAAATTAGTTTTATATGGATTGAGAACAGATCTCCTGAAGGATTTATGGCTGTATAGTAAATGCCACAGCCTTATCTTTTATAGCACACGTTTCCAAAGCTGAGTTTTTCTCTGTGTCTTATTTGTCACAGATTATGGAAACGTGGGATTAAATTAAGCATCTTGCTGTGTTATTCCAAATGTTTTAAAAGCAGAATTGCAGCAAGGTCTTTTAGTTCAAGCAAACGTTTCATTTTCTCCATTATTTTTGCTCTACTCCTTGCAGGTAGTTTTCCCAAGGGTGGCTCAGGTTTGCAAAAATGACATGGGAGGATCTCAGAGAGTGCTGGAGAAACAGTGGACTTCCTTTCTCAAGGCTCGTTTGAACTGCTCAGTTCCTGGCGATTCACACTTCTACTTTAACATACTGCAGGCAGTAACAGATGTTATCCATTTCAATGGCCGGGATGTTGTTTTAGCAACCTTCTCCACTCCATATAATAGGTAATAGGCGCAATAACCTTTTACCTTCTGTTTCCTTTGTGTTTTGCTTTTCACTGCAGTTTCTTTTTACTTTATGAAGGTACAAGAAGTGATTGCTCATATAATGCAATTATTATGTACCACATGCTTACTGATAGCTTGTGTTTCGTTTTAAGATACTCTGGTATTGCTTACTACATTTTATACCTGATAATTTAGAGCAGCTTTCAGCCATTTACTATGTGGACACGTTTCTTGGATGTACTTTTCTTTACACGGGGCTAATTCAGACCTGCCACCAAGAAGTTTTGCAGTGTGTAACTTGCAGAAAGTTGTTCCAAAGAGAAAATATGTTGGGGTGTTTTTTTTTTTTCTCACAGAGAAAGGACTTGGTCTGTCCTGTTTACATCTAAACCCCCAAGAACCATGTTAGTACTCCTTCCCTCTATTTCATGCATCCTTACTGACTCCTGCATTTGCTCCTGGGAAAGCCAAGATCCTACGCTGTCCTTCTGGCCCAGGAGGAGGGTCCCCAGGACACCTGTATTTCATTGTTTGTGTGGTTTTTCAAAACACCGTTTCATCTGAAAATAATTTATTACCATTACACATTATAGCATGTTTCTCCAGAAGTTTTTAGAAGAGTAGCTGTTCCTAATTATTGAGGTCTCCCAGAGAAGTTAAAAAAATAGTAGCATTCTAATTAAAAAACACATTGCTGTTTCTCAGAGTAATGTTTGAGCTGAAAGGGGAACTTTATTGCTGAAATTCATCTGGTTTTCCTGTACACTCGCCACCTCTTGTCAAAGCCTGACCTCAGTGAGGTCATGCACAGAACTGACTTCAAATGAGAGTAAGCCCAGGCCTGTAATGTATAATCGCTGCTTTTGACATCAAAACAATAGGAACGGCAATGGAATAATTATGCCACCACTAGGGAATACAGGCTTAAATTAAGATGATCTGTTTTTAAACTGGCTTAATAAAAACAAGTGAATGAACAGAGATTCAGCATCAGAAAATAGGTTGTATCTTGAGATTATCTCAAAATGGAGATTGTCCTCCTGCTCTGCTACTATTTCCTGTGGTGTGTCATGAATAATACTTTTCTTTAAACCCTGCATTTTAAATTCTAAGCACTTGGTGTTAAAATCAAGGTGCTCTTTTATAGGCCCCATTGTTTGCCAGATACTGAAGATGATAGGAAGGCACATAGGCTTGGAGACACCTCTGACATAGAATCATAGAATCGTTTAGGTTGGAAAAGACCTTTAAGATCATCAAGTCCAAACGTTAACCTAACATTGCCATTCCCACTAAACCATGTCCCTAAGCACCTCTTCTACATGTCTTTTATATACCTCCAGGGATGGGGACTTGACTGCTTCCCTGGGCAGCCCATTCCAGTGCTTGACAACACTTTTGGTGAAAAAATTTTTCCTAATGTCCAACCAAAACCTTCCCTAGTGCAACTTGAGGCCATTTCTTCTCATCCTCTCACTTGTTACTTGGGAGAAGAGGCCGACCCCCACCTCACTACAGCCTCCTTTCAGGCAGTTGTAGAGGGCAATAAGGTCTCCCCTCAGCCTTCTCTTCTCCAGGCTAAACAACCCCAGTTCCCTCAGCCACTCCTTGTAAGACTTGTGCTCCAGACATGGATGCATCTTTCTCATTCCTCTTCCACTGAGGAAAAACTGCAATAAATATCTTTGATCTCTGGTACAAAGCTTCCCCCTAGAGTGAGCTGGAAGAGATTCCACAGTCTAACCTGAGGTCATCCAGTATAGCAGCTGGTGATGGGTCATAGTGCAGTGGTTGGGAGGTGGCTTGGCTGTGACCCATAGTACTCCCACACTGTGGACTCACAAATGGCCATCCTCAAGAGTAAAAGCTGGTGCAGTCTTTTTGCTGCAACGATCCCTCCATCACCATGGAGTTATGTGTTGAGCAAAGTTCTCTACACTTTTAATTCTTTGTAGTACACCTCAAGATTTCAGGGCTGTTTTTTCTTTAGGGCTTAATTCAGCAAAGTGCAAGTCTTGTAGCTGGAATCGTTCTTGAGGTGTCTTTTAGGGTGACGGTGAGGTCCTGTGCATGGCCAAATATACCCTTGACCAACTCTTACATCAACATACATGTGGCTGCCTCCATTTAACTCTTATACTACTCTTGCTGTGTAGTATCATGTTAGTATAGAGCTTTGAAGTTTACTTCCATATAAAAACACAATCTGTGGAGATCAAAGTAAGACTAATGCTGCCTCCCTACTTGTTGTTTCCTTCAGTAACAAGCATTTTGAAACCTTTTAATATTCAAACAGTTATTTTCCTATCAATTTATATACCCTTACGAGTTTACTTTTATTCTCTGTAATAGTATTATAGTTACTACATTTTTTCTTTGGTGTATAATAACCTACTAGCTAAAAGCGGAATTGAAAGCCTCAGCCAGCTGGGTTCATGCTATTTACTTGATAAAATCAAGTGGTGAAAGTCAGACACAAATACAGTAGTTCATGTGTAAAAAAATGAAAGGTGGGTAAATGAATAATTCATGCTTCCAAGTGACTGACCACGGGAAACCTCTAAGCCTTTCAGAAAGTATGTAGGTAAGGATGTAATTACGTTTAGACAATGCTATTGTGCACTTGCATGCAAATAATCAAAAAGTTGAAATTTATAACTTTATCATCTAAAAATAAAATTGAATTTGCTTCTATAAGCTCTTTACACCTCATTGAGTTAAGCAAATTCCTGAGCATAGTTAACTCCTTTCCGTTGGGAAAAATTGGTGGAGATGAGGCTGTGGGAGGATGGAGTAATAACGTGTAAGTGCCAGGTCAATGGCACATTGCAGCATGTTCACGGTTTGATCAGCACCAACTTCTGAACTGTCTGCAGTGTATTTCTGAGGCATGACAGGGACTGTGGGAATTAATACCAAGAGATGTTGTGACTTACAGGAACTTAAATTTCCAAATAATGGGCTGTGAATGAGACTGGCTATTACTCCTCATGCATCGCCAGTAGTACACAGAGTTTCCCAGATTGTTTCCCTTCTTCAAGATTATTGCAATTACTTCTTTCTGTAGAGGCTTTGAAACAAATTGTGCTGGCAGGAGCTGTCTGCTGATTGGTATATTTCAGGATTTTGCATGGGGCTGGCTTTCACTGTCAATACTCAGGGGTTACAGAGTTCAGGATTGAGTAGCCTGTGACAGCAAGACTTCTATACAGCATGTTTTTCACTCAAGATTTTATGCATAACTGCAGAATGAGTAACAATTTCTGGGAAATGTCACTTTGCAGCATCCCCGGCTCTGCGGTCTGTGCCTATGACATGCTTGACATTGCCAATGTATTTACTGGGAGATTTAAAGAACAAAAATCTCCAGATTCCACATGGACACCAGTTCCTGATGAACGAGTGCCCAAGCCCAGGTACGTTTCATGTATATTGTTCTGTTCCTGCACGCAGCACAGAGGTTTTTGACAATTTGAACAGCCTTGTAAGGTGCAGGTACTATTGAAGATACATGTTGTAACAGAAAAACGTAAGTTGAGTTGCAGTTGGATCTAAGGTATGCAAGTGAGAATTTTTCCACGTAAGATTTGTATAACATAAATCAGGCCAGCACCAGATCTGCTTGGTCGGAATAATCTATCACTTAAGAGTGGTGTGAGTTACACACCTGTTGCAAATTGGTTTGGTAACGGATATATCTCATTACAATGCCTGCACCCATTCTGCGTTTTGCTGTTCTGCAGTAAACACATGCAATTTATGTGCCACAGAGGATGCATCATGGGGAGAAAAAAAACAGCATTCCATCAAAATGGAGATTTGGTTTACCTCATTCCTCCTATGAGTTGTTTTCCCTGCTTCCACTTCCCTCCTCTTCGCATGTGGCTACTCTATTACACTCTCTTTGTATTTTCTACAAGCACCCATTTCGTACAAGTTGCCATTGACAGCCACTTGCTAACTCATTTACACCAGTGGCATTTTGCTCTGAGAATATGATATGAGTGTAGATAAAGCAAACTCATTTATTTCAGTTGAGCTTTAATGTATGTTTTACATTGCCTGTGATGTGTTGCATAACTTCAAAAGAAAAACACATCTGAAGCTCTGTGGTGGCAACTGTGCTTCTACATTAATCCAAAGTTGGCCCATCATGTTTTAGAGTTGCCGAGTGTAGTATTCCTGTGCTGTCTTTATTCTGAGGTTCTTACTCAAGAGAAGAGCCTGGAGGTGACTGGAAAAATCTGGTAAATTCTGTGTCTTTTTTCGTTCTGAGCATTAGTAAGGCACCTGCTAGCACTGTTGCTGGATTTTCTTCTCCTTTTTGCAGTATTTCAACAGCTTGTTGGCATGATGGGCTGCCTTGGTAGTGGAAGGCTGCACAAGTGTTCCAAGGTGGTTAGTTTGGAACTTACTCAGATAAAGAGTACTGGCAGGGAAGGGGGAAACGAGAAGGAGAAATATTCTCTTTCAGTAGGAAGGAAGAAGAGCAAATTGCGTTGTGAGTTTGTGGGATGAGCCAATAGCAGGCTAACAGTTACAATGAAGATAATACGACTCCTTCTAAGCCAGTAGGAGATAACATGAACTGAATTGGTGGATGCTGTTTCAAGTAACATTTGGGTATCAGTCTGCTTAATGGAAAGAATGATTACTTCTAACTCATGTTGAAATGTATGAAAGGCACAAGACGCCTTTGAAATAAGGTAATTTTTGTTTGGATATCTCAGTATGGGGCAGAAACATTAGTGCTCCTATTGATTCTAACATTTCTGAGAAACATACTGCAGCCTTCCAGAGGCCTCACTTCCATTTTTGGCTGAGGTGCACAGTGGAGTTTACTCGGGTTTATGTTTACTTGATTAAACCAGTTTTGAGATTAAAACAGGATTAATCCAACCATGTGATTAGGATTTAGGAGGAAATAGGCCTCCAGATTAGATATAGAGAAACCCTAGGCACCACGACCAGAAGGCTGCTCCCTAGAGTTCTCTGGGAATGCCACTTCATGAATCGGTACCCTTGTAAAGACCTAGGAGACTGGTGATGTCCTTGGTTTCTCCTTTTCTCACACTATTGCTAATTTTATATGCAGTTACCAAAATATTTTGGATACAAAGAGGCAGAGCATGCAGTCTCTGCAGGTAGTGTTCATTGTGCAGTTGTGTGGAACCAGACACATTGACAGAGCTAGTCCCCTCCAGTCCTGTGCTACCTTCCCACCTATTTAGTTACCTACAGTTTGAACATGCATCTAAATCTGTACAACAGATATGATAGGACCAGCCCTACATTTTGTTCAAATTGGCATTACTCCATTGATGTCGGTAGCTCTACCCACATCAGAGCAGATTAGAACTGGACACTGCAGCGCATTTATGAGTGGGTGGTCCATCTTTCATCTTCCCATCTCACAGTAGCTCAAAGGCTTGGAGAATCATAGTGCTCTAGGAAATGGGATCAAATGGACCTTTTCTTGGAGAAGGTAACCCACAAAGTATTAATAACAGGCAAAGCATTTTGCTGCTTACTGTGTAGAGATTACCTGTCCAGGCAGAAAGGTTAAGTTACCTCTGAGGAGCAGCGTAGATTTTAGGAATAGGGTGAGCAGATTTGCATTTAAGTTGTCGAAGAATGATTAAGTAACGTTTCAGTGAAAGCCCTCAATGTACTACCGTACTTAAATCATCTCATCCAACTTGAAAGAAGAGTAAAACCAATGTTTACATAGATGTTTGTTGGGTTGTCTTCTCCAGTAGTTCACTTTCTACCAGACAGGACTGAAAGTAGCATCTTTCACACATGCTAAACAAATCAACTTCCTTCTGTATATTAGTGACTGCTTTTATTCCATTAAAGAGCAGTCAGCTAGGCAAGTTGCAGATCAGAGAGCACCTGTGCCCGGTGGGCAGCATCAAGCCAGATGCACACATGCAGTGATTAGGTTCCATGTGAGTGGATGAATAGCAAACTGTGTGTGTCAAAAAAAAATTGAGTGGACGACAGAGCAGGATTTTAGGCTTCCCCTGAGGGGCTGAACAAGTCCACCAGGATTCTCAACCCTCCATTAAAACCCTTGTAATACATACCAGATTTCACTGAGGGCCTCATTACAAAAGGAGATTTGCATCACATAAGTGTTCTGGCTTTACCCTCTTGTTTTATTTAGACCTGGTTGCTGTGCCGGCTCTACGTCATTAGAAAAATATGTGACCTCTAATGAGTTCCCGGATGATACTCTGAACTTCATCAAAACACATCCACTGATGGACGAGGCTGTACCTTCCATTGTCAATCGACCCTGGTTCCTGAGAACAATGGTCAGGTATGTACCTCCAAGTGGACTCTTGTCCTCATCATAGCTGTCAAGTTGTGCTAAGTAGCCTTGCTCAGGATACTCTCAAACTCTGTAAACATCCTCGGTGTGCTGGGCATGAATCCAGCCAGGAATGATGGCAGCACCGAGCAAATGCAGCAGAACTCCCTGAACAGCTTTCAAGATAGGAAAAAACCTCTGTCCTTTCCAACCATGCTGTGCTGAAACAGGATCTTGGAGGAAATGCCATGCAGGGAAGGTTGACCCGCCTGTTGGCTTATGGGTCAGTGTTTGAGAGAGCTCTGTAAAGAACTTTGGGCAAGGATCAGGAGACAGCCCAAGGATATGTACACAGGATACAAACATGCCTGCCAGGATATGTTTGGAGGATATGAAGATGTCTTTTGGGATATGTACTGGTATGTTTTAATGTTTACAGAAGTGTACAGGCAGAAGTAATCACATCTGTATCCTTTCTATGGCAACAAGACAAAAATAATAATAAAGAGATATGAACAAAGACTTAAAAATCAGGAAGCCTCAAATACACCATCCCCTTCCTATCAAAATGCATACCCACTCTCTGCTGTGGTCGCGATACTACTTGTCTACTGTGCGGTTGTGAACAGAATAATGTGACTAACTTGTCCCATATTTTCCTCTCTTGCTCAGTACAAGGGTAGAGTTTTGTGCTGGGCAGTGTTTAGCCCTGTAAGGGTCTGACTTAGCTTTAGTCATGTATCTTCTGTCAGGGTTTTATGTCAGGTTCTGTAGCAAAGACAAGAGCAGCAAGCTCCGCAAAGCTCTGCAGAGTGCTTTCCTTTGATCAACAGCGCCAGATAACTGGCACCAAATCACCAGTACTGGTCTTCAATAAATTGTGTCATCCCAAGATTCAGTATCACCTCAGCACTGAACTCACTTAGTGACAGTTGTGTGATTGTTTCTAGTGAGGTAAAATGGCATTTAGCATCTCACTATTGCACTTGCACAGCTTTTTCCTGCCCAAAGAAGTTGAAAGTAGATCAGTTATTATTGCTGCTTTTAATGTGACAGAGCTTGAAATTAATAAAAAAATCTCACTGTCGTGATTTTCTTTCCCCATCTGAAGAAGTCACCAGGCTAGTGGTGCTTCTGATTGGGAGGATAATTCCTAAATGGCCTCAGACTCTTAGCACCCCTTCAGCTTTCTGCAAACACTTCTGCTAGCTATTGGACATGTGGATGTGGAAACACACAAAAATTCCCCGCCATTTGGGGAGCCAAATTTGTACAGTCAGTGTTGACTTACAGGGTTATTCAGCTAGGAAAAGTGCTTAAATATGTTCTGTCGTTGCTGGAAGGCTACCATGCAGTTATCTGAAGTGGAAAAAGTGATAAAATTGAATGGCAATCTATTCCCAAATGATGCAAAATGCCGCATTGTTATTCTAGATATCGCCTGACCAAAATTGCTGTGGACTCTGCTGCTGGGCCGTATCAGAACTACACCGTGGTTTTCTTGGGATCAGAGAAGGGAATCATCCTGAAGTTCTTGGCACGGACAGGAAACAGTGGTTTCCTAAATGATAGCCTTTTCCTGGAGGAGATGAACGTTTACAATCCTGAAAAGTGTGTATCTGATTCTTTGTACTCGTGTACAGGCAACTTTGAACTTCCGACTTCCCAGAGAGTAGGTTGTCCCATGAAAAGGGAAATGGTTAGAGAAGCCAAATTTTTTGAGTAATTTTGAATTGTTTGGAGAGGGGATGTCTGCTTATCAGTCTCTACATTGCAATAAGAAATTTTTTATTCAGTATGTAGAAAATATGACCATCCTATGCACCAGTTGATGGATAATTAGAAGTGAAATTTTGCAAAGGAAGATTAATTTTTCTAATCCTATAAAAAACCTGATTCCTCTCCAAATAACTCAACAACCAGCAACCCGCTCTCCAAGGGAAATTTCCCGCATTTCAGCCTTCCTCAAATATGCCTAAGGGGGCTTTGAAGTGGGCCGTAATCATGCAAAAATTTCAGCTACTTTGAGTGCTGGAGAAGAACAAACACAAAAAGTGAAGGGCCCTCAGAAAGCTTGTCTGCTGTGCCGTCTCTCTCCACTTCTTATTCCCCTGTACCATGCATTTTTAATACTCGCTTATATGTCTATCAGTCTTTATAGTAAGTATTGTGTGTTCTTTTTCCTTGGCTTGTTTAATTCTACCTTTCTCTCCGGGTTTTTTTTGTGGGAGTTTTTGAGTTGTTTTGTTTTTTTTTTTTTAGCTTGAGGAATCATTAAGTTTTTATCTGGTTTCCCGGCAGAACTAATTTATAACCTTACCTCACATTTTGTCAAATCAGGTGCAGCTACGATGGTGTGGAGGACAAGCGGATAGTGGGCATGCAGCTTGACAAGCCCAGCAGCGCCCTGTACGTCGCCTTCTCCACCTGTGTCATCAAGGTTCCCCTGGGACGTTGCGAGCGTCACGGCAAATGCAAAAAGTACGTGTTTTCTGTTGGCTGGCAGAAGCCCGTGCGCCAAGCATGGGGAAGGCGGGAACACTCATGAATGCCACCTTGTGCTTTTCTTTCTCAAGGGCCTGCATAGCGTCCCGAGACCCCTACTGTGGATGGGTGAAGGAGAGCGGGGCATGCACACAGCTGGTCCTTGGCTCCAAGTGAGTAAGGACTCTGGCGGGACGGGCTGTGAAGCTCCCGGCGGTGGCGCCAGGAGGTCTTCGGCAGAGCTATTTGAAACGTGGGGCTCTTAGGGAAGGAAAAATGTGGGAAGTGTTTGTTTCTACCTTATTTGCATTCACCTCTGAAATGTCTCACAAATTTTTTTGATGTGAACTCTCAGCTGATTGGTAACTGCTGAAAGAGGAGGAAGAAGAAAATGAAAGAGCTGTACTAAGGTCCGCACATTGTTGAAAGGAGGGAACTGGATGGGTATGTCTGGACCAGCCCACACTGGAGCCATCACAGCTGATTAAAGAGGCAATAGAATCCAAATTAAATTACTGAAACAATTTGTCCACTGAAAAGAAAACCAGTCCTTCTAATTTACTGTGCATTACTAAGAGGAATCACAGAGCACAGTAAGAGCTTAAAGCAGATTCAGAGAAGTGCTGGATCTCCCTTTGCTTAACAGTAGAATTTAATTATTTTGTAATAATGAAGGTCTGTGAAGGTTTGTTTAAATGTGGTTACGAAAGCCTCCTCGCAGGGAGCAGACCCACTTCAGACCTCTCATTTCTGGGCCACATCTGACATACCTTGAGCTTGCCCACCCTGAGGTACAGCTACACCTCCTCACGGTAGCGGTGTAAGTGTAGCGCAAACGTCACACACCCTCGGCAGTCCCACAGCCAGCCCCGCTTAACCCCACTTCTGGATAGGTCTTCAGTATATAATGGCTGAGTTACCACCCCTCTGCTTGTGTCATGTTCTTAATTTGCTATTTCAATTCAAATTCTTTGTCCACTGGGGATGCTGTAGCTGTGCCTGTATATGCCTTACTACGAGAGTGCGGACTATTCACAACTGGATATTTGGTAAAATAATGTCAAAATGCACCTGCGTCCGTATCAGGTTTTCTCTCAGCATTCCCAAGGTGTTTGAGTCTTTTTGCACTTCCATGGCAAGCTACAGGGGACTTCTGTACCTTACTCTTAAAAACTCTCTGTCCAGCTCATAGCTCTTAGGAAGGGGATCCAGATCAGCTGTAAAGATGTCTGGTTAACTTCTAAACTAGCCAACAGGAGGCAGAGATGCTAGGTGCCCTGTTGGAGCAGGTGACAGCTGAGCAGGAGTCTTAAGACCATGGAGCTGGGAATAAGGTGCCTGCAAGCGTAATTAATGCCTCAAGGGCAGGATCCTAGCTAATGTAGAGAAGGGCTTGTGTTGGAGGTTTTCCAAGGCTCTTGTCATTCACCTTTGACCATCCAGGAACTTGGAAGAACAGCTTTACTAGTTACCCGAAATCACAGGTGGAGGTTAGGAGCATAAACTGAGCATGTCAGGTAGAAAAGCCTGTGGTGTTCTCCAGTAGAGTCCCGTGAGTTCAGCAGAATGTCTGCTGTGGACTGGACCTTACGCTTTCCAGCCTTGTCCAGCGCAGTACATAAATGATTGCTGAAATGCAGGTTGTCTTCCCCCAGCACAGTGCCTACACAATGCATTAGCTTCCTCCTCACATCAAAGTATCAGTGCACCTTGTCTACTATATGGACAAGTTAAGGTGGGATCATAATTGCTTCTGATAATGTCATATATAATAGAATTAAGAGTTTAAAAAATATGAATCTATTTGCCTCCCTTGACAACGAGGCATGCAGCAGATTTTAAGAAAGTATAATAAAAAGACAAAGCATCATGAGAAGCCAAGAAATCATTAAGCCACAATGAATAACTCAAATGTCTATGTAGCAATTTTTCAGCCTTTGTGTGGAAGTTCCAAAGAAATGTCCAGTTTCGTGGTGGCGCTTTATTTGAGTTACACATGTGATAATTTCTTTCTGGTAGTGCCTATGACTGTTGTTATTCATACTGGTTTGTTTCTTTCTATTATTTAGACTGGCATTTGAACAGGACGTAGAACATGGCAATACAGATGGCCTGGGTGACTGCCAAAGTAAGCAAAGCTTTTACCCTCTATTTACCATGTGTCACAGCATCCTTCTGAATGCCTCAAATCACCATTACCTGTCGGGCGTTCTTTTGTAGCAATGTAAGCCACAACAGGGACAGCAACTCTGGCTAGTGATGCAGGTTCAGAAGAGGAATGGTTGTTTAAATGCATTTAAAGAAAATAGCCCAGTTGGTGTGATTTATACAAACACCAGATTTCAAAGCAGTTACATAGTGAGAAAACCTCAGTTCCAGAGGATATTGATTATAGCAATGGCATAATGAATTGGGTGTTCATTGTCTTTATTAGCCATGGTGGTTGGGTAGTTTATGTAGATGTACAGAAGCGGCTTGGTTTCTTGGTGTTGACTGTGACTTGGACTACATTCCCATGCAGGACAGGGAGGCAGTGAAATATATCTTCAGCTTTGGATCCGGATCAAGAAGTGGGAACTACTTAGTCTGTGAATTCTAGTGGATTTTGCACACAGGCTGGACAACATAGTGGTATTAAGGGTCAGGCACTACTGACCCTGCCTAAGAAATTTTAATGATAAACCTTAGGTACTGACAGCATGAGTTGAAAGCTTAAACACAGTCTTTAAACATTTACGTTTTGCACTGAGGTGCTTAAAAGTGCACAGCTTGCAGTGCGTGCAAAGAAACCTTGCATGCTGATTTCTGAGCCTTCAGGAATATCCACATCTGTGTTCAGGACAGCTCTCGTTCCAAATGTTCTTGCCAAGGTTGGTTTAATTCTGAGCCCCAAATATTATTTATAAAGCTTATGAAATCAAGAATCACATTCTTTTTGGTGCAGTTTGCACTGATGCCTGTAGATGTGATAAAACTGCTGAAGCCAAGGACATAACGTGCAGGGAGAGGGTCTGGAATACAGAACACAGTAGCAGAGGGCTAGAGCGTGCCATGGGATACAGTGTGGGCCAGCTGCTCTGGAGAAAGCCAGAGCCTTCTCATGCCTTGTGCATCCTTGTTCAAGAGCCATTTATTACTGTGATCACTGTGCTTGAGGGAGTACAAGGATTTCAGCCTCTGCATGCCCTCCATCTCAACTACACCTCCCTCTGCCTCTGCCCTAAGATAAGGTTACATAGGCTGTCTCCAAGTTTTTTGAAGGATGTGTACACATAGTCCTTCCTGTGCTCCCTGTAAAATGGGTTAGCACCAAAATCAGGTCAGTTCCCAGCTGGTGGAACTTTGCCCTTTTCTGCCAGTTCTGCTCTCCTTGAGCAAATACATTAGACAGGTCTGGAGTGCACCTGATACTGTTTAAATATAAAAGAAGGGTAGGAAATTATTCAGAAAGAGCACATTGTGCTCATGGAGAGAGATCTGCTCCTGCGCAGAGAGCAACAAAGCCTGTACCCTGCTTAAATCCCTCTTTAGCCCTGAATGATGCATTGAACCTTGACGCTGCACAGGGGTAGATTTCACTCCCTGCTAACCCAGCTGATCTGATTACTCCATGTGGTATTGGGTCATGTGAGTTTTGTCCTCATTGCCTCACGTTGCTGGCTGCATCACTTGTAGTGCCTTGCATTAGGGTAGGGCTTGATCTTGCAAAGAAAGCCGTGGCAGGGAGGACTGGCCTTCTACTTGGTATCCCTTGCACAGGGCTGGCCATGAACGCTTTCAAAGCCAGACATTGTTTTCGGGTATGTCTGAATATTGGTTTTGCCTGGGTCCTTAGGGTACTAATCACATGCATACAAATATCAGCTGAAGCATAGAAGGTTGCTAACAGCAAACTATTAAAAAGAAAAAAATGAGAGAGAAATAATGATTTTTCCCCTGTTATTTGTCTTTCAGATTCCTTCGTAGCCCTGAATGGTAAGGAAGTTCTTAGTTTCATTATTTACTGACAGCAAATCCATTTTGGAGGAATCACTTTTTTACTAAACTCTTAAGTATTTTCATACTTTTGTTTTATTTAATGTTTCTTCCCAACTTATTTTGTTCATAGACATTTCAACTGCTTCACCTGATCATGAAATGTCTTACGACACAGTGTATGGTCAGTTCATGGGTGTTTTTAAAAATTCTCCCCAGATCCTTGTGTTAGCTAGTAGTTCCTGTACTCAAATAGCCATTACCCTTTTCTACTTGTTTTGTCTTCGTTTTGAGGGCCTGATTCACTAATCACAATTAGGATTAAGTCATACCTTTTGATTTTCAATCCTTCTTTTCTAGTCCTCCCTCAAAGCTGTCTCCATCGAATTAAAGTCAGATATGGCCTATTTTAATGGCACACCAGCAGACATGATTAAGAGCATGCTTCATCTGAACACTCAGACAAAGGAACGCTTGGGTATAGTGATGCGTCTTACCTGCTTGCCAGGAAAAAACAAGACAGCAGCTCACATCCCACTCATGAGTCGTCCAGGCTGGTGTCATGACTGCTACAGCAGCCAGTCAGAGATACCTTAGGGAAAGGAGCAGAACTGTCCCTGGGTTACAGAAAGGTCTCTCATAAGGAAAATTTGCCTGTTGCCCAGGGCAGCTGAGACTGGGTTGTGCCTCAATTCCTGAAAGCTCCTGTCACTTCTAGGGTGAGTCAGTTGTCCATGCTTGCAGTATCTTAATGCCTGAATGGTGCCTGGTCTGTTAAAAAAAAAGGGATTCACGTAGCAAATTAAATGACCTGAGCTGAAGAGGAGCACTTCTGCAAATCCTAGAGTAGTACCTTCCCATGAGGCAGCTGTTAATCTGTGCTTACAGTACTTTCCACCCCTTTGTTCTGTATATTTGGAAGTGGATTACACTGGTACTTGGAGTGCAGAATAAATGTCTTCATGAGGAATTATTGCAGAATAAATAATCACCTTAAATTCAAACCTAGGCTTGTATTGCAATAGTTTCCCTTTACAGGTATCTTCAACAAAGACAAGTACTCACAAGCTAAGGGGATGTGTGGTATTGCTCCCAGTGAAGTCAATGACAAATTTCCATGTGGGATGGGAGCTTGCTTGTGAAGTTGCTTTCAGGCTGTACAATACTAGCAGTTCATCAGAGCTAGGGCAAATTCACCATATGTTTGGCTCAATGTAGCAAGAGGTAGGTTAGTGTGCAGTTGTGATGAACATTTAATTGATCCCTTCATCTCTTGCCTGCAAAATATGTAGGTCAAAGCAGAACCAGTGACAGCTCAGTATAGCAGAATATAAATAACTGGAGGCACAGTAATATCATTCAACATTTGTAAAAATAAAATCAAATTCCCCACATTGTTTATTACCAAGAAATGGAAAATGCGCAGGTGAAAGTTGTTTGAAAGTACAATAATGAAAACCAGTGACGGGAATATACAAAATCAAAGACAAGTTGAGACTTTGTAATATATAGAAGATTCATGGTTTCATCTGCATATACAGCTTGTACTTACTTTCATTTGAAAACTGCTGTATTTCCAATGCACAGAGTAGTAATTAAAGAACAGTAATAATAAAATCCGTACTGCTGAATATAAAGGAAAAGAAAATGGCCTTGGGCCTAGTGTTGATGTGCCAGAAATGTCTTAGGTTTCCTGCTTCTAAGTGCATTTGTAGTCTGCACAGTTATAGCTGTGAGGTTGTGGTTTTGGATCCTGTCAGCTACCATATTCGTAGGGACATTAGCAAAAGCTGATGATTTAATCTGACCAAGAAAGCATAAAACTGGTTCAAGTGAGCAGCAGAGTGGAAAAAAAGCTGCAGTCCCAGGGAGTACATGTTACAGAATAGCTCCATTCTACTGTCCCAGCAAGTCAAGCCCAAAGACAGACTCCATGAATTAACCCAGCTCTTCAAGTAGGACCCTACTGCCAGATGCAATGGAGAAAAGCTGAGCCAGCATTAACACTGGTTCCCATTCATGCCCTGTCTTTTCACAGGTGATTTTGTTGACCCTCCTCAGGTACATCCTGATAACATGGTCTCTAGGCAAGCCAGCTCTTCTTTTCATGGGTTTAGTTGAAATACCCATTCTGATATACTCAGTGTCTCTTTTCACCTACCGTAGCAAAATACAAAGGGAAATGTGCTAGTCACCTCGATTGATCTTCCACATGAGGAGTGTAAAAAATTCCAGCATGAGGTAGTAAACCAGTCTCAGTAAACAAGCTCCTGTTTGCTAACTGTAGTGACTGCTCAGAGTAATTTTTTTTTTCTTGAGAAAGCTAAAATTTTATAAATGGTGCATTTTAATGTTACTGAGTCCCGTTAAATGCATAAGTAAATGGTATTTCATAATAGATTAAATCTCAGAATACTGGGATACACCAGAATGCCAACCAAGTGAATGCTCAGGGTGCTTTTGGATCCAGTGGGCTAAATATATTCAAAGGCATCTGAAACTCCAGTTGCAAAAGAAGTCTTAAGGCCTTGATTTACTCCACTATAGATCAGCTCGCTTCAACAGGGTTCCTGCCAATCTGTAGCAGTGTGAATGAAAGGAGAACCAAGACCTTAATCTTCGTATCCTTGGCATCAGCCTCCTCCTCAATTTGGCAGAGGGGCTCCCTTTTCTGGTGCGGTCTCACATGATCAGTTGTACACAAGTAAAGTGCAAAGTCCACACAGGTGCCTGTTCAAGTGCATCCCTTTCACACCCAAGGAGAAGACAGCAGGCTGAAGGTCTGGCCACAGAAGGTCAGAGAGAAACGCTGCAAGAGCCACATATTTAAACAAGGAGATTAAGCTAGATTCCTCTGCAAAATTGTAAGCAGTTTCAATTACCTTTGGAAACATCAATTCTTAGTGAATTGGGCCCTTTTTTTACCCCCTAGACATAGTCCTTTCTCCCTCTGTAGTATTGATTTAGCCTTTCCCTCTAATTGTCTAATTAGGTTGCTATAGCTGTTAATAGGATAGTGTGCAGACATCTTAACCTCTGAGATCCTAATGACTTGTGCATATTAGAGCAACTATCAAATACGTATTGAATCCCTGTCTTTGTTTTAAACCTGGAAAAAGTCCTTATATTTTACAAGTGCACTTCAGAACAAGCTGTAGTTACAGAAGTGCAGCCCTTCTGAATCATTACCCATGCCCGTAGACACTGAGTGCTTTTACTCTCCTTCTGTTACTTGATTACAGCACTCCAAATGAAAAGTTTTTACAAATAATGGAAGCACCTAAAACAGATTTTTTAAAAGTGTGTCTATTTTGGTTTTTGCATGTTTGCTTTAAGCAAAGAACTTTGAAAAGCACTGTGTCTGCAGTTTTTCAGATGGATTGTTTTAAAACAAAGGCAGTATTGTCTTTTTAGATGTTTAGATATTAACTGATATTAACACAGAGGTACTGACCACATCTCAGATAGGCTAAAGACTCTTTAAAATGCCGTGAAGCCTATTTACACAGTCAGAGTGGTAAAAATGGTGTAATGGAAAAAAAAAAAAAAAGGCCTACTACGTGTTGCAAACTATACAGCACATTGTAAAGGTTTAATAATGGCCGTGTGTGAGAGGGCCAGGACTGGGTTGCCTGCCACTTCAGTCTTTCCTCTGTTTATGAGAGAACCTTAACTAGCTCACACATTCGTCGTGCCACACTGCTCAGGGGTGAAATTCACCCAGCGGGACTGGGTATTCATGCACTTACGGGACCCAGCGGCTGCTCCGCTTACGGGAGCCGCCCCTCCCCACGTGGA